TTTCTCGACTTTCAATCATTATATTTGTAACATGTGTTTATGTTTTCTTTCAGTCATTAACAATGGCAAAGTGATATTCTCATTCATATTTCTGTAACGTGTATTTACTTCATATATTCCTTTTTGAAGCTTTGTACAACATCTTATATGTGTGATAACATTGGATGTAGATGGATCTCACAAAGTACATAAATTTATGCCTTATGTTTACAATCTTTGGTTTATTCATTCTCCCATCCTCATCTGATTTTGCTTAAAATTTCTTCAGCTATCTCCCCAACCGTATAACATTTCTTCATCGTCACCTTAAGTTGTGTGTATTCACTGCTTAGAGGGCAGTTTAATACTAAAAACTGATTCATGTGAACAAAATTTAACGATTTTTTTACGGAACTTTCTTCTTAAAAAAATTATGTTTCTAATACTAACTTCATTCTACTTCCTCAATTATATAAGAACCATCATCATAACATGATTTCAAGCAACCAATAGAACTTAATAACTCAATAGCTTCAAATAATATATATAAAATTCAACAAACAGTCTCTTATTGCTTGCCCCCATTGTTATGGATGCCAATCATATTCATTAATTTAGCCGAATGAGTAGAGATGGGTGGGCCTAATTAGCCACTTTAAATCAATAAATATTTGCATTTGGATGCAAAGCCTACACAAACAAACGAAATATTAGTTTGGAGCGAGGGATTGCCGAATGGGGAAGAGAGGGATGTATCAAATAATTGTGTGGACCACGTGGCCGTGTTTTTTCTAACATTAGAGAATCCCAATACCCACATGCACAGTCTATTTTGGAGGCTACGGCTTGTGAGGAAAAATAAAAATAAAATTTTATAAAATAAATAAATAAGGTCTCCCGTCATTTTCTCTTTACTTTATTCTTTCGCGAAATTTGAATATTTTTCCATCCTTAAATTTTTTTTTATGCTCTTAACATTAAGGAAAATTTTAGTCGAATAAGATTTTTTACTTAGAGGTATGATAGATAGTTCGGCTTGAAAGGAACATTTATATGCAAAAGAAGAAACGAAATATTATAAATATGAGCATGATGTATAATTTAAATTAGGAATATGAGCAAAGTATTAAAAAATTTTAAAAAGAAGCAAGCTAGTCAAACAGAATGCCGCAATCCATTGAATGCATCAAAATGCATGGCGTATTTAGAATAAGCCAAACAGTTTGACGCATTCAATGGAATGCTTCATTCTGTTTTGCGCATTCCATTGAATGCACCAAATTATTTGTCGCATTGATATAGTAATTTCAGACTTTAATTCGACTAATGGAGGTGAATACCCAAATGATTTGGCGCATTCTAAAAAACTTGCCAAATCATTTGGTGCATTCTAAATGATTTTGCTAGTTATGAATACATCAAATCATTTAGTGTAATCTTTAGAATGTGCCAAATGATTTGATTAGTTTGTTTCTTTTTTAAAACTTTTTAATATTTTGCTTCTATTTCTAATTTAAATTACCACCATACTTCTTCTAAAAAAACCCCGAAAAGAAAATAGATTTTAAAATTTTTAATTTATTTTGTCAAAAGTTTAATATTTAAAGACTTTATATTACATTTAAATTTAAATAATTAATAGTTTTTAAAATATATTCTCATAAAAAATCTTGATACAATTTAAAATAAGTAAATATAATTAAATTTAGTTGTTCAAAATGAAATGAATAGCCGAAATTAAATTATAATGAGCAAAAATCCAAATCCTTTGAAGATATAAAGAGATAAATTGTGTATGGTGTTTTTTTTTCAACTTATTTTGAGATGAATTTAATGTAATAATTTATCAGAACTTAAAGATATTATATTAAAATACATTTCAAATTTCTAAATTTTAATAAAATATTTGAAAAATTATTTTTCAAGGGTAGTTTGCTGAAAATAAAATGCATAGTAAAAAATTTCATTGTAAAATAAACATAATGTATCTGAAATATTTTAGAGTTATTAGGTTAGTATAAAATAAACGTAAGTTGTTTTTTTATTTAGTTTGAGTAAAATAAATTAATATAAAGGTGGTGGGTAGTAGAGAATAAATTATTATATGCGGAGTTCAGATGTAGCCCTACGTCCAGACTTCCAATAAAATGAAGACACATGGATTTTTTTTCTAGCCTGATCTGACGAGGAGCCCCGCCCAAAGCGTGTATAAATTATCCATGTACAACCTGTACACAATATGTGTATAAGCTTGTAAATTGTGTGTACAATAGGGTCGGGTCATCGGGTCACGCTAGAGCTATGTGTCTTCATTTAATTGGAGTCCAGACATAAAACTATACTGGACTTCACACATAATAATTTTTCGTAGCAGAGGCAACTGGCGATGGCGATGGATAATGATGATGGCGACAATGGTGACCAGAGATGACAATAGTGACATTAGGATGTGGCAATTAGTTATAGCCACCATCAATGATGACAATAGTGGTGGCCGTGGTAGTCGACAACTTGACAATTGTGATGTATAATAAATGGTGACAATTACGGCCACTTGTTATAGTGAGTGCAGAATATATACGCCGCATTTGAAAATTAATCAAAATCAATCCATTTTAAAATACTTAAAAATATTTAACAAATAATGCAAATTCCTTAAAATTTTATGCTTTTTTGGGGTAATTGAGTAAATTTATGTTTTATCAAATCAAATATTTTTTATTTTAAAAATTTTTATATTTGAAATATTTTACATCTAAATTTCTTCAACAAACTTAGCAGTCAGCACCACAATCGTACTAGCCGACAGCCACACTTACCAAAAATGTTTTCTTACGCGTTTTTTTTCCTCTGCTAGGGTTTTCTCCCTTTTGAAGCCCTAGCCGCCACCGTTCGTCTTCGTCTTCGACTGACTGCACTATTTTTTCATGGCAAATAAACGGTTAGACCCTGACTTTTTGGAGGGTAAGCACTCAAAATCCTTCAAAGATGTTTTATCTGGTGTCGATGATTCGAAAAGTTTTCCTGATTTTCGGATTTCGACAATTCGTGGGATGTCAACTTTGTGGTTTTCGGAAGATGAGTTTTTGCATCTTGCTAAACCGTTTGAATTTGCTTTGGTAGGGAAATTCCACTTAAGCGGCCTGATTTAGATTCGATCCGTAAGTTTTTTTTCAATCTTAAACTTTCCGGCAAGTTCTCTATCACTGTGTTGGATCAGGCCAATGTTCTTATTAAACTCTCGAATGATCTTGATTATAGGAGGATTTTCGCGCATCGCTCTTACTTTGTATTTGAATGTTTTATGAAAGTTATTAAATGGTCGCCTCATCTTGATCTTTCGGAGGAATTGCCGGTTGTCCCTGTTTGGGTATCGTTTCCTGGTTTGCGTCTGCATCTCTTCTCACCCTGTATTCTTTTTGGTTTGGGATCAATCTTTGGTCGCCCGATTCAAACTGACAATGCTACGGCTGTCGGGTCTCGTCCATCTATAGCACGCATTCTTGTTGAACTCGATATTTCGAAATCTTACCCTGATTCCGTTGGGCTTGGCTCGGAGAGATTTGGTTACGTTCAAAAAGTGGTTTTTTAAGGTATGCCAAATTTTTGTCTGCACTGTAAGGCGGTGGGGCATAAAAAATCGGAATGTATCAAGCTCTTCCCTCAGTTGCGTCCTGCTTTCATTGCGGCTCCCTCGCTAGCTGACCCTGTTTCTAAACCTGCTGTGATCTCTGTTAACCCTATTGCTTCTTCTAGCACCCCTCTCTGTGAAAATGAGTTGGCTAATACTGAAGTCCCGTTGGTTCATGGGGGCTGGATGGTGTTATTGATGCTAATATTGTTTGTGATGCGCCACCCTCTTTTCTTTCTGAACATTGTGTTGTTTTTTAGGGTGTAATTGAGGCTGGGGGTTTTAATGCGGCTGGGAGTTCTCCTGGCACATTAACTGCTCCTGGTGTTAATACCGTGGTGGAGGAATGTCGTACTGACGTAGCTGGACTCGAGCAATTGAATGTTCCGTCGCCTACTTTGGGTGAGGAGAATTTGCGTATGTGTGTTAATGAAGTCTCGACTGGTTTGGGTGTTCAGGCGTCGGGCTCTTCTGCTGTTTATGTGAATTGTAATTCGGAATGTGTGCGGGTGGAGACTTTGAATGGTCTTTCGGTTGGTTCTAACAATTTCGTTGATGTTCCTGTTAACTTGGTTGATACAAACACTTTGGTTAATCGGTTGGGTGTTAATTCTGGCTTTGATATTAGGAACCATGTGGATTGGCTTAATGGTTCATCTGAATTTGAATCGGAATATGAATTTTCGGATTGTGGTGCCTCTCCTGATTTTTTTGGTGGATCTGACCCTGATAACGAATTTACTCTGGTGCGGGATAGACCAGTCATCTCGGCTGCAACTCGTGGGCGCTTTCATGGGAGGGGCCGGAGAAGAAGATAATTGTTTTATTTTTTGTTTCTTGCTTATTGTTCATATTACTTTGCTATGGTTTCAATCGGTTTAGCGACGCGTTGGATATGGACTATGATGTGGCTGAGGCTCGTGTCCTCATCACCTTGTGGTGGCAACCTTTGGTGAATTTCTTCGAGTTGGTGAGGGTTTAGGGACGCTTTCTTCACCTTACTGGATGGTCCGTTCGAAGTTTCGGGGATGTTGAGAGCCTCGGTCGAATACTGAGTCCTTTCTTCATTGTATTTTGCCTTTTTCTCTTTTTTTTTTCCCTATTTTCTCATGATTGTGTAACTTTTTTTATTATTTAATGTATTATCTGTTTTGTGAAAAAAAAAAAAGCACCACAATCGTACTATTTCTTCAAAGGTCCCTCTCAGTCGTCGTTGTAGAGTTTGGTTAGTACTGGTGACACGCACACAACGCTCACCCGCATCCTTGAAGTGTTACTGACCCGCGTCGAATTGAACTCTACCTGCGTAGCCGTATTATATATATTTATTTTATTCTCTTCAGATCTCTGCGTCCCTGGTTTCTGCCATACAAAAGAAAAATGGTATTAAGGGATTTTTACATACATACCACTTTATTTGTTTCATATTACATATTTAACACCTAATTTTTAAGTATTACATTAATACCACCTAAATACTATTCTCATAACAAAAGTACCACTCCGTGAATTGCTTCCTCACTCCGTCTGAATTCGTTATATGCCCTAGCCAGCGAACCCTTGCATTCTCCTCCCCGCGAGCTGTCGCCAGGCGTTATTTCTTTCGCGTTGATCTTCCCTCCGGGCATCTTCCTCGCAGATCTTCCCTCCGGACATCTTCCTCGCCGATCTTCCTCCGAGCATCTTCCTCACAGATCTTCCCTCCGGGCAACTTCCTGGCAGATCTTCCTCCGGGCATCTTCCTCGCCGATCTTCCTCCGGTCATCTTCCTGTCAAAGCAATTGAAATCAACTTGCTGCAGGTGCCTTTGTCAGAGCAATTGAAATCAGCAAGGGCTCCAGGTGCTTTTGCCGAAATTGAAATATAAAATGCTCCAGGTGCCTTTGCCGAAACTGGAACAGCTGCAGGGCTCCAGGTGCCTTTGTCGAAATTGGAAAATAATGCATACTATTCTCATGTTTATCCAGTTATTTGTGAAGTGATGACAAAAAAATTTATCACATAAAAAAACATTAAATCTCACCTGTTACCCGTGAAGAGCAGAGGTGCGAAGCACCGGTAATCCGTGAAGATTTTTGTAGTTAAAGAACCTGTATTTTGCTGATTTTTGTAGTTAAAGAACTTGCAGAAAGAGCAGAGGCGGGAAGAGCAGAGCTGAAGCCGGGATACAGAAGGTTTCGCTGAAACCTCTTGCTCTCCCGCGAAAATCACAGGCGGGAAAGAAAACGGAGTGAGGGAAGCATTTCACGGAGTGGTACTTTTGTTATGAGAATAGTATTTATGTGGTATTAATGTAATATTTAAAAATTAGGTGTTAAATATGTAATATGAAACAAATAAAGTGGTATGCATGTAAAAATCCCAAGAAAAATATATTCAATCCCCCTTCTGTTCTTTTTCACCGCGAGGCGTCTCCCAGTATTCGGCTTTTAAATTCCAAAACTTCTCCCATTCCTCCTCCTTCATCGCCATTGAGAGAGGTGCAGTTCGCGATGTTGGGGAACGGCGACTGCGATGACGGAAATGACGATCGGTGTTCCTTAAATACCTGCGGAATTGCTCAACCAAATTCTCGGCCTGCCGCCGCCGCCTCCTCCCTCGTCGGCCTGCCGCCGCCGTTCTTCGACCAAGTTCTTGACAACGTCCTCGAGAACGTGCTGTGTTTCTTGACCTCTCACCGCGATCGCAACGCCGCTTCTCTGGTCTGCAAGTCGTGGTTCCTCGCTGAGGCCCAGACTCGGCTCGAGCTGTTCATCGGCAACTGTTACGCAGTCAGCCCAGCCCGCGCTATCGGTCGCTTCCGCTGCATTCAGTCTCTGGTGCTCAAAGGAAAGCCACGCTTCGCCGATTTTAATCTGATTCCATTGGGATGGGGCGCACGATTCTCCCCATGGATTGCCGCCATGGCTCCGTCTTATCCCTCACTCCAGCGAATATGCCTCAAGAGAATGACTGTAGCTGACGCCGATCTCGTAATCTTAGCAACCTCCTTCCCCAGTTTCCGAGACCTTACACTCATTTGCTGCGACGGATTCACCACTGCTGGCCTAGCCGCCATAGCCGAGAACTGCAGGTATCCACTCTTATCAGATACCTTGAAACACTAACTAGCCTTCATAACGGTGAATATCATCAGGTTTGCTCTTCACCGCTTTTCTAAGCTTTTAGATCTGGTTGCTCTGTTCTTGATTCCAGACAGCTCCGATCTCTTGATCTGATCGAGAATGACGTTGAGGACGACGATGACGATGGGGTGGATTGGGTGTCATGCTTTCCACCTGGGAAGACATGCCTCGAGTCCCTGGTGTTCGATTGCGTTGGTTGTGCTGTGAACTTGGAAGCTCTTGAGTCTCTTGTGGCCCGCTCTCCTTCTCTCTGGAGACTGAGAGTCAATGACTACATCTCTGTCGGCCGGCTCTTCCGGCTCATGGCCCGTGCACCGCAGCTAACTCACCTTGGCACTGGCTCTTTCTCCTCCTTCGATGGAGAAGGTGATTTCAGGGCCTCTCTCGAATCAGCCTTTATGGCTTCCAAATCCCTGGTATGCATATCGGGTTTTCGAGATCTTGCTCCGGAATACCTTCCCTCAATTTACCCAGCCTGCGCCAACCTTATCTCACTCAACTTGAGCTACGCCCTGATTACAACTGACCAGCTCAAACCAGTCATCACCCGTTGCCACAACCTTCAAACTTTCTGGGTATCAATCAATTTTAATCTGACTTATTCCCAATCTCAAATCAAATAAAGATTTCTCGAGAAAAAATTAAATTTAATCTTGATTTATTTTGAATTTATGATCAGGTTCTAGATTCAGTGCTTGACGAGGGCCTTCAAATGGTTGCTGCAACTTGTAAAAATCTCAGGGAGCTTAGGGTTTTTCCTTTAGATGCCACAGAGGATTCCGAGGGTTCCGTATCAGATGTCGGCTTGGTAGCAATCTCCGAAGGCTGCAAAAAACTGCAATCAATCCTCTATTTCTGTCAGACTATGACCAATGCAGCCGTTGTCGCCATGTCCAACAACTGCCAAGATCTCGTAGTCTTTCGCCTCTGCATCATGGGTCGTCATCGCCCCGATCACCTCACTGGAGAACCCATGGATGAGGGATTCGGTGCAATCGTCAAGAATTGCAAAAATCTCACCAGGCTTGCTGTTTCCGGTCTTCTCACTGACAAAGCTTTCGCTTACATCGGTAAGTATGGGAAGTTAGTGCGGACCCTTTCAGTAGCTTTTGCTGGCAATAGTGATTTGGGATTAAGATACGTGCTTGAAGGATGCCCCAAGTTGCAGAAGCTTGAGATAAGGGATAGCCCTTTTGGAGACACCGGTTTGCTCTCTGGGATCCACCATTACTACAACATGAGATTCTTGTGGATGTCTTCATGTAAGGTTTCGGTGAAAGGTTGCAAGGAGGTGGCAAGAAGATTGCCTCACATGGTGGTGGAGGTCATTAGGGACAGGCTGGAGGATGACAATAGTGTCGCTATGGAAAAATTATATATGTATCGATCTCTTGCTGGCCCAAGGAATGATGCCCCACCATTCGTGAAGTTACTGTAGTTCCAGGTTCCAGGAGCTAGAAGCCTCCATCTCAAGCAGACCTACAGATGTTTTTCTTTTCAGCCGGAAGAGAAGACCTTCTCAATCCTGCCATTGCTCACAAGTTGAGTTTTCTTAACCCACCAGAAATATCTCATGCCTCCATCTCAATCAAAAAAATCTATAGTTTCATTTGGGATGACTTTCTTACTACTTCTTAAAACGGCTTTCATGTAAAAAATTTTAATTTTTTACTCAAAAGCCGTCCCAAATGAAGCCTTACTGTTTTTTAAAGCAATTTTTTAGTACAAAAATTAAAAATTTTCTACTAGAAATCTTCTTTAAGAAGCAGTAATAAAGCCATCCCAAACGAAGCCTAAATTTGATGATATGGACCTGATTTTGCCATTATATCATCAGACTAATCATCTTAAAGGCAAGGCTGATAGAGAAGATACAAATGGAAGTTTGATAGATGATGCTGGCACGTAAGCTGTGGCAGTAACATCTACTTCTATTACATTCTGCCGGGACATAGCTTATTAACCAGGAGCATCACTTACTCTGCGGTGAAGATTAGAACTTTAGAAAATTTTCAGATAAAATGAGCTATCTTATTCTGCAAGTGTAGGACTTGGTTTCTGTCTTTTATGTGCTTCCAATGCTTCGTTTTCCATTGATTATCTGCCGTTAGTTGTTTAATTTTTAGAGCAATTGCCTCATCTTAAGATTCTAAGAATTTTTTTTAGATGGTAGTGTTGGAATTCAATAATATGACCACTACGGGAAGGCTTGATGGGAAAATAGGATTCACTTTGTAAAAAAACGCCCTCAAATTTGAGAATTTATTACGTGCGAAATTTGGACGTAGCTTTCATCTGGACTTCATTCAGAATAGATCACGTCACGATGTACAAGTGAAGTGGCATGTTCTGATTGGAGCTCGGACATTATTTGTATTCCGCACATAATTATTTCTCCTCAAACCAATAATTTTTTTTAACTGTATTTTCCACTAAATTGGCAAATTATCCGGTCAAATTGGCCAATCCTGCCATGAAAGTGAGATCTGAAGTTTACCTTAGCCTTATGTATCACAACAATCCTTGGGCCATGGTATCCTTTCATCCAAAATAAAAAATAATAATAAAAAAAGAAGAAGAGAACACCTTGATATATAAATATGGAAAAAAAAAGGATCAGATACCCTTATTCAATGTATATTAGGATTGTTTTGAAATTTTGATGTATCAAATTTTTTTATTATGATTAATACAAATATTTTAATATTTCATTATTATCATATATTTTATAGTAAATATTTTCATTAATTGTGTATGTCTATCAATTAAAATCATATAATATTAAATATAATAAGAATATCATATGTAACTTGATTAATCTATATTAATAAAACCTGCATTAGATATGCTGCTTATCTATTTTTTTTTCTAAAAATATAATGATATAATGATTTTATTTAAGAATTGATATATCATCAAAAAAATATCCAGGCATGAATCTCGAAGCAAAATCAAGTTGGAAACTTCAAAAATTTAATTTGGGACCATCAGAACTTTGATTTTAGCAAACTTACACTCGAAGCCTAACTGAGTTTAATTCAAAGTCCCGAAGTACATTTAGAAGGTTCAAATCATAATTTAGATTACCAAAAAGTTTTCAAATGTTGCATGCTTATATTCGAATCGAGCGGCTTGACGAGACAAATCCAACGAGCCTAAGATCGCCAAATTCTGATGTCATTAAGACATTTAAATGCCTAGTAAATAATTCACGATCAAGGGGATAATTATCGGCTATCCATTCAAATCATTCCCAATTTAATCTTGATTTTTCTCTTATTTATTGTTTATGCCACTCTCAGAAAATTATAAATAAAACCTTCATTTCTCATGAAAGGAGACCAAAACAAGGAAGCAAGACTCATTGACCACCGTCGGATTTTCGCTTGGCTGCTGACTAACGTCGGACTTCTTCCCGGCTGCCGATTGACGCTTGACTTCTGCTCGACCGCTGACTGACGCCGAACTTCTTCCCGACTGTCAAATGAAATCAGATTTTCGCTTGACCACCAAAACGTCATTGGATTTCTAATCTCCGTTCGTAACTAGATTTTAACCCGATGGTTGATTATTGTAATCTAATTGTCCTCAATTTCAAGGGCGAGTATGTCACTTGTAATCTAATCAAACACTAGTAGAATAATTTCATCAACTCGGTGTGACCTCATGATTTTTCTCTTTTTCATTATTTTTTACGTAAAAATTCAGGAGTTCTTTTTTTCTTCCATTTATGTGTTGGATATTGTACAACGTTAAGACAAAAAAAATCTAACTCCACTGCCGCATATATTCTAGCCCACAACAAGAATAATAAGACATCTGATGTAAATTAATGGAAGTTTGCATTGAAAATTAAAATACATTCTTGTTTTTTTTACGTTAAGAAAATAATTATCATTAAAAAAAAATATGCGCCACCGATTGAATCCTCTATCAAAGAGAAATTCTAAACAATTATAAGGCCATCACCTCTATATGCGTATACAATATAATATATTTTAATATTAAATAAAAGTTTAGTATTAAGATAAATAATTTAAATTTTTTTTTTTTTTATATTTGATTATTTAGTATAATATGTATAGCGACAGCTAGGCTTGCTTTTTTTTTTTTTTTTTTCTGTGACGAGGAAGCACTGTCCTTAGGTCAGTGTAAACCCCGGTCGACCTAGCATGCAACCCACATCAATTTACACGGGCCAACACTTAAGGCTTTCACTGTTTGCCAAGGGATTCGAACCAGGGACCTGGGCTTTGCTTAGCCGGCTCTTCACCACCAAGACAAACAGTGGTGGGTGCTAGGCTTGCTTTCATTGAAGACTAGCTCTTCATTCATTTGGGGGATAAAAAGCAGCTTATTTGGGCTTCATTAGGTACAGCAATATGGCTGTCGTGCTCTGATGTACCAAAGAATGCATCATTCGTTATTCCCACTTAATGGATGGAAAAATTATTAGGTCTGGTCATCTAACAAAGAGATATATCCGGATTTTTCTCTGTCTATAGTAAAAGCACAGTCAAAACACAACTGCTACAATAACTGCGTTTTATTGTAGATAGAGATAAATTTGGATGTATTTCTCTGTTAGGTGACCGAACCTAATAATTCACCCAATGGATCACTGCTTTTTAGGAGAATTGCCCATCAGCATGATTATCAGTTCATTGAGTAGGTTTTTTATTTAAATGAAATATAAATTTAAGGCACATAAAATAAAACAGCAACAACATCATCAAGTCTTTATGATACTGCATGGGGTCTGCTACTTGAATATTTTTTCTCCATTATGTTTGGTTAAGAGCCAAATCCTCTTTTAGATATAATAAAAAAATGTCATAAACCTCCTAGCTCGCACTTGATTGAGCCCCACTTAAGAGGTGTTGCCGCTCAAGGAGAATCGAGCACAGGTTGGGGACCCGTGGGGGGTTCCAAACTATACTCTTCTACCAACCAAGTTAAGCAATATTGGGTATTTAAAATATTTTTTAACTAAGTCTTTTTAGGTTTACCACTATTTTTCTTAACATAGATTAAATATAATACATCTATTCTCCTAATCGGGTCATTAGAAGGCTGCCGTTTTATGTGACCAAATCATCTAAGACGACTCTCTTTAACTCACATGCCATTGGAGCTACTCTAGTCTTTTAATGTATATGCTCATTTCTTATCATATCTTTAAGAGTAAAGTCACTCATCTACTTGAGTATCTTCTGCACATAAAATAATAAAATAAAATAAAATAAAATATTACATTTTAAATTTTTTTAATAATTTATTTAATTTACAATTAAATTTATTTACTTATGATATAAAGTTTTTAATATATACAATTTAAAGTTGTGATATATTAGAACTTTAAAAGACGGCCATTGGTTCTTGTGTCAATATAAAAAAACTTTAAATAATAAATATATTTTTTATTCATAAAATAAGATGATAAAATTACTTTTTGTAAATATATTTTTTGCATTTATAATATATTTGACCTTGAATCTTTTAAAAGTGATTGTAAAATTATTATGAGAAAAATAAGTGATTTGAAAGTTGTTGTAAAATAAATTTTCTAACACAAAAATTTCTTTAAAAGAGCGATAAAGTAGTAACCACACAAAATTATGATTGCAGTATAAAAAAGAAGTATTAAAAAAGTTTTCTGAAACAAATTTTAATATATTTGATGGATCTTAATAAATCATAGATGTGTTTATCTATATTCTTAGAAGTTTGATAAAGGGATTGACATAAACAAATTAAAATAGGTAAAATAAAAAGGGTTAACTTCTAAGAATAAATTCTAAAAAGAAGCAAAATATGAAATAAAAATGAGACAAAAGACTAAGGTAATATTTGGGACAACTTTTTTACTATTTTTTAAAATAGCTTTCTAGTAGAAAAATTCTAGCTCCAGAGATTTTTGTACTTAAAAGTAGTAAGAAAGCTGTTCCAGTTGGGATAGCTTTTGGCCACTATATTTTTATTATTTTTATGAAACTTTTCCAGCAAAAAGTTGTTATGCAAAGCAGTAAGAAAACTATTCCAAATTAAACATAAGAAGGGGCTAGAAAGCATTGAGGATTAGCATCTAAAAGCACACAAGTGCCACCCAAAAAATAGACACACCTTCGATTTAACTCCTCATTGTTCAAAAACTTAATAGAAGGGTAAACTTTTCAAGCAAGGAGGCAATCAAAGGCTTCAAAGTATTCAGAGATGCCTCAGGCCATTGTTGAATACCAAAGAGAATTGGATCCAAGATAGCTCTTCATAATGAATATAACCATTTACAAGAAGAATCTAGTCAAAATGTCAGGAATTTCAGGCTTATCTTTTAAAATGTGCAATTTTGTTTATATTGCAAATTTGATTTGTGCATAAAGGGCGAGGAAGAAACAAACTTGTTTTTGAATTTTCCATAATTTCTTTCTTTTTACATGTGATGATAAATGTTCTAAGATGTCTATGAGGTGTTACTCAATTGTATAATATAGTATAATATTTGAAGCATGGAATACTTAGAAGGAATGTGATTGTTAACAACAAGCTGTCTTTTAGTAAAGTGTTAGAGTATGAGTTGGAGAAGAGGATGTGCAACATATTTTCATTATCACAATAACATAATTGGCAAGTTTGAGGAAGATTTTATTTTATTTTTGACAAAAGCATTCATAGTTTTGAGGCCATTCTTCAAAACAAGTCAAGTGAAGATGGAATGTCAAGTAAATGCCATTGGAAGTGCAACTTTATTTATGTATTTCTAAGAGGGAGAAGCACAAGAGTTGAGTTTTCTAAATAATGTCATATTTAACCATAAATTATTAGAAAAAGCAAGTCATTGAAGTACCAAAGTCTCCAAATAAGCTTAGAGACTAAACTAAAATGTAAGTATGAAATGTAATATAGACCAAGGCTGCCCTTATACTCGGAAAAGCATGCGTTACTCCAATAAACAAGATGACTTTTCTTGACTTTAGTGTTTCCATGGAAGAGGAGTATTAACAAACACATGTTAATAGCTTTAATATGTCCTTTATAAATGTTGAAAAACATGGTACCAATTGACAATAATTTTTTTAGCACTTGTAATCTACCCACCATCGAGAAGCATCTAGCCATCCA